AAGTAAAAATAAGAAATAAATTAAAAATTAAAAAAAAAATTACAATTAAATGCTCATGGGACAAATCCAAAAATAACAAAGTGAAAAGTCCATGCCCTAAATAAGAATGAATTGGGCCTTTGGTTCTTAATAAAACCAAGTCGTTAATTGTAATATTATATTGTCATCTTATTTGGAGATACCCAATAAAACCTGGTTTAACTTAAATGGTGTTTATTCAATTATGTTTTAATTTTGGACAATAATTAGTACGATCACCGATTGAATACATCTAATAACATTTATTAGCTTTATTATTACAAATTTGTATCTTATTAGTTTTTTTAATGTGTTGAAGTAGGTCTCCATATCATTTTTTGAGAGATTGTCACTATTAATTAAAAACGAGATCAATTTAAATGAAAAAGATAGCTTTTTCAGCATGGTAAGGAAAAATGAAAAGTCACAGTTCTACTTTGATACATATTTATCTAAAACTCTTATAGATTAAGTCTTTCTATGAAAATCAAACTTCACCCAATGCAATGTTTATTTTAAATTCGCAAGTACATTGTACGTTATATTATAAATTTCATATCAATAGACCAAGAGAATTTATACAAGAGAAGGATTTTGCAACCACTACGCCAAAAGTGCAGTTAAGGCTGCGTGAAAATTTATCGTCCAACTGTTTCGGTGTCTCTATATTGTAAATATATCAAATGATGTTAATCTTATTTGAAATGTATTTAAAAATTGTGATTGTATTTGGAGATGTTATTATCTAATTCTATAAATTAGAATGGTGATTATTGATTCACTTGCAATTGTCTAGCTTGACAACTAGATAAAATAAAATGAAAATAAAATTACTGTTTTTTCTACAAATTTAAGAAAACTGAAAAAGCGTACTTAAATATTATATTAAAAAAATGCTTTTACAGGTAATCAAATTAAAAATTAATAGTATAGAAATTGTAAATTCAATTTGCAATTATTCTTAATGTATTATCTATCTAATGTTGAAAATAATAGAGCAAGAAAGTTTATAAGAAAATGAAACATGTAATTTTAACTAAAAAAGTGGACTACATCTCTATAGAAAAAGTAGGAAAAAATTTATAATAACCTTCTCAATCCTAAAATAAATAAATAAACAAATGAGTAATTAAAAATTTAAAGCAAAATCCTCAACATAGCATGTCAGGAACCACTAGTTATATTGAAATTTTTTATATTACAAAGTTAGTAACATATATTTGCAATGTTGTTGTGTATAACCGTGATAGGAGAAAAAAAATTGATTTGATAAATTTACAAATAAGGAAGTAGTGTGGGTCAGCCAACCGAAACGAATTATTTATCATTTTGATGGTTACAAAAACTTTATTTCAGTATGGATACCTAACAAAAGCAAAAAATAAAAAAGGTTTAAAGTTATATGAAATTATAATTGAATTAGACGGTTTTGGTTGGGGATAGTAGGAAAGGGTAATACGAAATTTCTTCGGATGATGAAGCATTCGGTTCGGTTTAGACAACACAAACCCAAAAGCCACCACAACCTTTTTGGACGGGCATTAGTAGGCACTTCTCCAAAGAAGGCAAATATATGCAACGGCTACTTCCGCCCACACGATACAAGTTCTCTATTTCATTGATATGGGTTTAAAGGCTATTCACTCTTCTTCCTCCTAAGTAAATTCACAGATTTGGGTTTCTTGGTAAAGTGGCACACAACCGATCGCCTTCTCATTACAAATAATCCATTTCGAAAACAACAAAGAATTCAGAGTCATGCCAGAAACTGTGAGAGATTTGAGACCCTCCATGTTCACCACGGATAGATAATGTTACAGGCGCAAGTGGCACAAATGGAAAGTATCCGTTGCCACTTTAGAGTTGTTTGAGCAACTTCACGAACTCCTACGTACTGTTGATATCACGAACCACTTCAACACCAAAACCCCAAGATGTTTTCTTGAGGTAGACATTTTGACGCTCAAGTTAGCAATACTCTATAATCTAGAGAGAGAAGCTCTTAAAAAGAGTTATTGTAGAGGCAGAAGTGTAGTAGAGTTATTACATTGCATAGAGGTAGTTTGGGGATATTTATAGACCCCATTCATGACAATACCACCATGTGTTACCACTCTATTGTACACTTGTCTCACATCACGTGGGTGTCTCATGATTGTTTTACTTGTATGTTTGGGCTTTGCTAGTACTCCTTGGGGCTTGAAGCCAATGTTGGGCTTATCCCTTAATGTTACTCCCCCCTAAGTGCTTGTTTATTGAAACATTATAATCACATTATGATCCAATATTGGCCTCAACGAGCTAGGTCCAACAATTATAGAGCAAGTAGTTTTAGGCCAAATCAAGATCTGTGAGTGAGGTCGTTTAGAATTTGTAAGACCACAAATGAGGGGAATAGTCTCCAAGCTCAATTTGAAAACCACATCTTCTAAAATCTTAAGAATAATGGGTTGATGTTTGGGGAAAGTTAGCAAGCTCATTCATAGTAATGAGCTCGTTAAAGGTTTAGCGAGCTCATACACTAGCTAAATTTTGAGAATCAAAGAATCATATCCAGACTTTGTGACAAGCTCACTTTGAATTTTCTAGACTAGACTAGGTGAGCTCATCCAAAAGGAAATTTTAAAATTTAGGACCGTATCTCATGGAATCTAGACAAGCTCATCCAAAGGAATTTTAAAATTCAAAAACCATATCTTATGAAAACTAATAAACCGTCAAGCCTCTTGCTCCCCTCAATAAATGTTGGTTCAACATTTAAAGGACTTGACAGCTAAGGACGTGACAGCTAAGGCCGTTCCACGCTCCATGTCAATTATGAACAACTACCATGTGTGGCACTAGTATTGGCTTGTATAGGGGCGTAAGTACGGTGCTCGAGGTACACATAATCTAGTAAGCAAATGGGGAATGGGGAGGGTTCTACTTAACAACTCAACCATTTCCTTTTGCATTCTTCTTCTGTATTGTTGCTCTGTTGCTATTTTTGCTCTTTCTTATTCTGTTACTTTGCCATTTTTTCGAAGGTTGCAGGTTTTTTGGTAAGGAAATTGCTTCAATTTCAACTGTATAGGTAACCATAGATCTCTTTAGAGAATTATGGGAACTATGGGGTAACTAGGGAGAAGAAGAAGAAGAAGAAGGGGTAATGTCCGTCATGCCTATTGTGATGGTCATGCTGTTGGTGTTACAAGATAAGCCCGAGTTGAATGCACTTCTCATGCTAGAAAGTAGAGCTAGTTCTTCGAGCAATGCTTATTGTTCTAGTTCTAGCTCCTTTAGTTCTTCCTCAAAAGAGATTGGGCCTATTAGAGAAAGTAAAAAAGGTAGTTAGGAAGAACAGATTGCTGATCGAGTGGAAAGGGTAGAACAAAGTGTATCTATGATAAAGTGGTGGGAATTGGTGCCAACCCATGCTAATTTAGCGATGAATGTCCAAGAAGCACCAGCAGATCTAGCGACGGGGTTCAAATTTAAAGTTGTACTTCACTATGAGGTGACAGACAGCAACGCCACCATTAAAAGTTAAAAAAAATATATATATATAGATGAAGTGGTGAAGTAATATCAAATTCTTAGCACCATACTAGTGTGATTTGCATCGACAAAGGAGCGGGCGTGTTCGATGGCTTTAAATGGGTGGATCCCGATATATATAGACAATTTTTAGGTCGACTTACGATTTCCATTGCTATGGATGATTTTTGACATACTGGCAAACCATAGATTGACATTGACACAACTTACACCCAACTCAGTGAAAGTTATAATAGGATTTATGCGGCTATGTGCAAGGTTACAAGAGCCTACTAGGTTGATAGTTTTTCGATCCTTGTTTCAATGTAAACAAGTAAAGAAGATGGCGATGTGGTATTACATCTCTAAGCATGACAAGATAATCATATTCCACAACGTTAAAAATAAAGTGATGAGTTGGAAGAGGAAATTCATTTTTGTATGGGATACTCAAACAAAGAGTGAGTAACGAGCTAGCTGTTTGTATATATGAATGGTGCTCGCCCAGCTCATACATGAATTATCCAACTATTGACTCCATTTATATATAAATAAAGGAGGATTTTATGATTTGTTGAAGAAAAAGGAACAATGGACCTAAAAGCCTTACTTACCTCGTTCAAGTTAGATGCTTTTGGGTTTGTGGATGTGGCTAATCTCCACATCCCAAGTACGCGTTTATTTTTATATATATGATCAACAATGCCAATCTGAGTCTTATTGTCTTCATTTGTGCAGGAGAAATGGTCGGGGGATTAGAAAAATAACGTGAATGAGCTCAGTGAAAACAAAACCAATACAGTAGTTCAAGCTCGCAAAGGCAAAGGTAGTCTAAGTCTCACTTTGACTAGCCTTTAGCAAAGCACGCTTCTCGTTGTTCATCTCAACTTGAGAGGGATAGTGGTTTAGCAGCCCAAGATCGACGAGCTGAGACAATGCCCCATGAATCCTAAAGGCGGGCGCGGGAGGAGGGTGAGGTTGCTAATGAGCCAACTCCCATTCGACAATGAACAAAAGTTGAGAAAGCTACACCATTTGCTGTGGTGACGCCCGCTACCCCACCTGCCACTACAATTGTTGGCACTAAACCTAATTCATTATAAACACAGTGGATTGCTCCAGAGGTTTCATACTATGAAGGCTTCAGGTACACCTAGAAGGATTGTCAAGTAGCCATGATGTAGGCACTGCATAACTTTGTCCCTCTGATCGATTGTCAGTAGGCAAAGGAGTTTATGCATCAAGTCGGCATAAGTAGTGCGGTAATAATAAAGCTAATGGATGCAAGTGAAGGCTCATGATTCTTTTTTATCCTGGTTATTTGTATAATTTAAACTAGCAACATAGGCTATGTGATAGGCATTCAATTATGTGGGGGCTTTGTTTGAGTAGGAGCAGGCTATTTAAGAAAAGGCACAGACAGTGGTTGATAAAGCAAAAGAGGTTGTGCTTCAAAAGTAAAGGTTACAGAAGGAAGTGAGCTATCTATAGAGCTTGGAGATGGTAAACCAAGCTGTGACTACAAAAAGCAAAGTGGAGAAGCTCACCAACCAGACTGTCGAGCTCAAAGAGGAGTTAGAGAAGGTCATAGATGAGAAAGAGAATGGAATCAAGGCCGTTAAAAGAGATGCCAACCACCAAGCCAATCCCGTTGTGGAAGAAGTTGCAAGGGCAAGGGAGGAACAAGATGAAGCTTGCAAAGAGCTTGACGCCCTATGAGCAAAGGTAGTTGAGGTCGACCAGATGATGGAGCATGTTTAGGGCATGTTGAATGGCATGGCTAGGTCATTTCGTAGAGCTATCAACATTACCTGAGCTCAAGTAGTTGAATGGTTCCTCGAATCATGTACCTTTCATGATGCTACTACTACTAGAACCATGAACATCACCATGGAGATTTACAATGATGTGCATGGTAAGGTGTTGCAAATATCAACCGAACTTCGCCATCGGTGAGCTCATTTTCATGGACAATGAGGAGATAGACGAGCAAGGGAAAGCCTAGCCTTACCATTTGATACCACTATGAAGGTGAAATGGTCCTTGGCTGATGAGGGGGCTCCATTATTCCTTTTTACCATACTATAAAAAGGTGACGAGCCCGGGTAGAGTTTCATTGGTTGGGTTGTTGGAATGCCGAGCTTAGAAGGTAGAACTCCTTCATCTTCTTAGCTACCTCCCTCACCAACCACACCTGATGCACCTGCTTCCACTTTAGCGACTGTGGCTACGCTCGTGCCTACAATAAATTTAATGGATGAGCAAGGTTAAGGCACGCAATGTTTTACTTTTTAATTTTTTCGTCTTTGCATTGTACTATTTGTGCTGTTCTAATTTCTTTTCAATTTAGGTTGTACTTCTTATATTTGAGAGTTTTATTCAGAAATGAAAAAGAATAGTTATTTTGCAATTTGCTAGTTTTTCTCATAATGATGAATGTAGTTTATAACAAACATTAAGGAGGAAAATGATGACAATTAACTGTAGTATTTCTTCAAATTATTTACATTCTATATGAATGGTAATCGACGACCTTGCGAGTCTTCTACAAGATATGTTACAGGTCATGTAATAGCTACAACCTTATAAGGCCCTCCCAGTTAAGAGCAAGCTTGCCTAAGTGCGAATAAGCATTGGTGAGCCTTGCCTTCCTAAAGACCAGGTCATATTCTTGAAACTGATGACCTTGAACCCGCTTATTGTAAAAATTGGCCACACGAACTTGATAAGCCTTAAACAAGCTATTTTCTTGACCTCATCAACGAGGTCTAGATTCTCGCGTAGTTCTTGATCATTAACAGCCTCATCAAAATGAACAACCCTTTAGCTCGACAAACCTATTTCCATGGGGATGATTGCTTCGGTTTCATGGGACAAAGAGAAATGGGTTTCCCCAATGGCCAAGTTGGGCATAGTTCTGCACGACCACAAGATTTTATCCAGCTTGTCAACCTAGTCTATGTTAGTGACAGAGATGCGTGTTTTAAGGCCACGCAACACAATCTTATTAGTTGATTCTGCTTGACCGTTTGATTGTGAGGTATAAACTGAAGTAAGAAAAAGCTAGTTTCCATAGTGCTCGCAAAATCTTTTCAATGGAATAACTCAAAATTGGGGGCCATTGTCTATAATAATGCGATGGGGAATGCCATACCTACACATGAACAGGCAGGCTAAATATTTTGCTAGTGTATGTGGTATGAATGACTAAATGGTATCATTGTACCTATATAGTATCCAGCTCAATAAGAACTATTCCACTTTTTCCTTAGTTGTTATGGATAATGGTTTAGCTTCTATTCATTTAGTGAAATAATCCAAAATGGCAAAAGATATATACAGCTTCCCTTACCTTTGATAAAAGCACCAAGTAGATTTATCCCTTACTACTCAAATGACTAGGGAGAAGTGAAGAGAGACTACATTTCTCTTAGCATGTGAATAGCATTGGCATTGAGTTGGTGGGTTAGGCATTTTTTGAGATAATTCTATGCGTCCTCAACCATTTGAGGCCAGTGGTATCCTTGTCTCAGAAGCTTTTGTGCTGATGTTTCTCCATCAATATGGTTGTAGACTCCTTCATGAACTTCTCTGATTGTGCACTTAACCTTGTAAAGAATGAGGCATTGCAATAGGGGCATAGACATTGCTCATTTATATAGGTATCCGTCAACAATAACGAAATGAGCAACTTTACACATGACTAATTGAGCTTCGGATTCATCTTTCGGTAATGTCCTAAATTCTAAGTATTTAACCAACAATGTGGTCCAGCTTGGCACTAAAGGGTCAGTGCTCAATATTATACAATCGGTTGGGGGTTTGATGTAACACAGCATATCTAAAAAATTAATACAAGTTGTTCATTGAGTTGATATATCTTGGGAGGAAGCAAGTTTTGATAATTCATCAGCTCTTTGATTATCCACTTGTGGGATCTTGTTAATCTTAAAGGAAGCAAACTTCGTTTTCAAGCGAGTAACAACGGAGTAGTACCAAACTAACTGAAGCTCTTTAATGTCACAGCTGGCATCAACTGGATTTACAATGAGTTGGGAATCACTAAACATTTGTATGGCTTACACACTGAGCTTGATTGCTAACCTCAAGCCAAAGATAAAGGCCTTATATTTAGTAGTGTTGTTTGTTGCTTAGAATTTGAAACTTAACATTGCTTTTGCTCCAAAGCCCTCAACATTAGTAGACCCATCCACACGTAACACTCATAGTGGGTGAGGAAGGTTAACCTCTTTTGTAATAATAGACACACATTCCACAACAAAAGTGGCCAAAGCCTAGCCTTTAACGGTTATACAAGGCTCAAACCTAATGTCATACTTACTAAGTTCGACGACCCAACCAATTAGGCGATTAGGAAGCTCATGCTTATACAATATTTTTCTCAATGACAAGTTGGTAAACATGACTATTTGATGAGATTAAAAGTATGCCCTTAGCTTCCAAGTAGCACAAACGAGGGCAAAAGTAGCCTTGTCAACAATAGGATATCTTCTTTCAACACATTGTAGGACTTTGCTTGTGTAGTAGATGGGGTTTTGCTGCTCACCTTACTCTTTCAACAATACTGACCTCATGGCATCAGTTGCGACCCTTAAATATATGAATAATTTCTCTCCTTCCACTGGCTTAGAAAGTAAGAGGGATGAAGTAAGATATCGTTTCCACTCAACAAAAGCTTGTTAACACTCCTATGTCCACTAAAAATCCTTGGGATTCCTTAAAACTTTAAAGAATGAAAGGCATTTTCTTGCCAACCTGGAGGAGAATCTATGTAAAGTGGTTAAACGGCTTGTTAAATGTTGCACATCCCTCACTGTTTTTAGGGGCTCCATTGGTTGAATGACTTGTACCTTATTTAGGTTAGCCTCAATTCTCTTTTAGAGACCACGTAACCCAAAAATTTACTAGATTCTATGCCAAATGTGCATTTGAAGGGATTTAACTTCATTTGTGCTCGATGAAGGTTTTGAAAAGTTTCATCCAAGTTGACTAAGTGATCTTTAGCTCGGAGACTGGTGACAATCATATCGTCCACATAAATCTCTATATTCTTGCCAATCTAGAGTTTAAAGATGACTTAAATGAGTTTTTGATATGTTGCGTCTAGATTCTTCAATTCGAATGGCATCATGACATAACAGTAAATTGTATCCCCTACATAAAATACTATTTTTTTTGTCATCAAATCACAAGTGGACTTGATGGTATTTTGAACTAGTGTCTAGCAAACTCATCTACTTGTGTTGCGCCACTTGTTTAACCAATTTTTCCACGTTTGAGCGTGGATGAGGGTCCTTAGGATATGCATCATTCAGATTTGTAAAGTCTATGCACATCTTCCACTTTCCGTTGGCCTTTTTTTATAAGCAAGGGATTAGATACCCAATTAGAATATTCTACTTTTCAGATGAAACCTATTTATAGTAGCTTTTGTATTTCCTCATCTATTACTGCTTGCTTTTCAGGACTAAAGAAACAGCATTTCTACAACACAAGCTTCTTAGTCAGGTGTGTACTGAGCTTATGAACTGTAAATTTAGGTGGAATGCTTGGCTTTTCATCTGTTGTCCAAGCAAAGACATCCTTATTAACCTTTAAGAAATCAAGGAGCTCGGTTTTTTCTTTAGCTATGAGCTTGGCTCCAATTCTCACTATTCTTTCTAATTCAATTGGTTCCAAAGGGATTGTTTCAACAAGCTTTATTGGCTCAACTTTTCGTTCAATACCCTTTGGCTTATGACCTACATTGGAAATATTCATGGTTTGGAAACCAAGTCAACTAGGCAAAGATAGCTGAAAAGTCGGCGCTTGTCAAGTTGCTATGAGTTCGACCTTTTTGAAAGTGTCTTGGTAATAAGTTCTAGCCATTTTTTGATTTCCCTAAGCATTCCTACCCGATTGGGGGTTAGGAACTTCATACACAAATGTGACTAGAAGACGACCGCTTTTAATTCACATAGTATACCTCTTTCAATGATGGCGTTAAAAGCTGATTCCATTTTCACTACTAGAAAATTGACTAATGCCATCCAATATCTCAGCTTAGTGCCAACATAAATTGTTAGGGTGATCACTCCTTTCACTAGAACAATCTGGTTATCAAATCCATATATAGGGCTTTTATACTTCTTTAAGGAAGCTGGATTGAATTGCATTTTTTGAAAGATATCCCAATACAGGATATCTGGAGAATTGCTAGTTTTAATAAAGACTTTATTTGCATTATGGTTGTCAATGTGCATAGCCATTACAAACGAGTCGACATGAGGCAAGATGATATCTAGTTCCCCTTCAAGTCATTTTTAATCGAACGAGTTGAATGTAATGGGTGCATTCTCCGATTTAGCTCCCTCAAAAGGATGATTTAGGGGTTTATTCTTGTTCAATGTCATCACTTGATGAGCATAGGCCTTACGACCTCGGGCACTCTGACCACCAACATGCATTCCACCTGATATCATATTTATGGTTCTTATCAATGGGGGAATGCCAGTGTAGCCCACTCCTTTGTTGTCTTTCTGATTGTGGTTAGTGGTTCTTTGCCCTTGTCCTTTCTTATCGCCCTGGTGGCCTTTAAAAGTTATGCTAGCCTCAAAGGAAAATAAACTTTCTTGACACGTCCCTTAGCTATTGCCAACCTAATATCCCTACATCTATGGCCATGCATAATCTTGTACATAATGCATTTGATTTTGTTGTTGGCAAAAGGACTTTTATATGTAGTCTTCCAACCTCCCACTTAAAGCTAATAATTCTAGCTCATCCTTCAAGTTATGACAGTCTTTTGTGTGGAGACCATAGCCATAGTGGTAGTCACAATACTTGCTTCTATATCTTATTGCTAGATCAAAAGACATGGGAGCTAGTTTCTTTACCCACTATCGTATCTGGGTTAGACTTTGTGACCTTGACAAGCTCAGGGAAGTGTATCTTGCATATTTCAGAGGTGGTTGAAAGCTATTGGATTTCCCCTTTAATTGGCAACTTTTTATTTCTTCTTATCTTCCTTTCTTGGCTTTTGTTGTCTAAGGTCTCTACTTTGTTTATCATTAGCCTACCATTTAGATGATTAAAAAATCTTTAGACAAAATGAAAGTTACCAATTTATCATTCACTTCATTCTATTCGGGAGGTTCTCTGGTAGGTCGTCAAGAAAATGTCCAGGCTTTAGCCTATGCAATAGGGTAGATAGGCATATAGTATCCAAGACATTATCAATGTCTAAAGTGGCTTTATTAAAGTGCTACATGTAATCCCTCAAAGACTTACTTTCTATTTGGTGAACCTGCAGCAGCTCTATGGCTGTATGTTTTATTTCTTGTTGGCTTGCAAATTTAGAAAACAACGTGGCGAGTTAGGAATATGAGGTAATTGAATGTTTTG